TGGTCTGCTGTTACATTCGTTTTCTTTTATGTCTGCTTCGTATAGGTTGTGTGTTAGGCTTACTCTAGTCTCAGAATTGATAGGAGTATTTAAATTGTTCTGTTTATTTTATGCATTTTACAGATATTGTTGGGCAGTCTGAGGACACAGTTTCTGCATCTCTTGAAGAAGATAAAAGAAAATCCTACTGTTCGATTATATTGGGAATCGTTAAAGTGCTGCTTAATTATATTATAACGGATCTAGAGAAACAGCCAGAAGGGAAAAAAGGTGAAATCGAAAAGGAGATTGTCGCTTTGATTGATCTTTATGAATCACTTGAAAAGGACGTGGGAAAATCGAAACAGGGCAATATTGGCAAGAGAGTACGATTTAGCTCCCGTAATAAATCTGATGATGCTGATGTGGGAAACGCAAGTATTAATGAAGAGCGAGAGAAAGTTCCCTTTTTGGCTACTTCAAGTATCTACCAGCTATTTCTAGTCACTTTCAAACTCTATAGCAGTAAATCCGTTGGTAATCTTTCAGATTCGCAGGATCACAGCCAGTCGTCATCAGCCAAGACAGAAAAATCAATTTCTAGTGTTTTCTCTTTCACTTTGCATGTTTGTGTTGGACACATAAGATCATCTCTTTGCATGAAAGAGGAAAATCCACTTAGACCGTTGGTCTACGGTGACATGAAAGTTCTGGGACCTCCACTGCTAAAAGTAGTTTACCTGCTAAAGCCAGGGCCCCTTCTTGCAACCGGACAGACAAATAAAGAGAATAAAGGAAGGAAGGATGCTGAAGGAAGAAAACAGTGTCTACATCTTGCCTTTCTTGGCTTGAAAGAGCTGCTCAGTATATATTCAACTGGATCTAATTTGAATGGTTTGCTTGAAGATTTGCTGGCAGTGCCTGCTACTGAGGATGATGCTACTTTAGAAGAGTGCAGCGAATCTTCAAAAATTGAAGATCTACTTGTAAAGAGCGTCGAAAATTTCATGGAGAAAATCATGAAGCCCATGATCACGGACCTCATCGCGCAAAACTCTAATGATGTAGAGGTAAATTCCTTTTAGCTTCAAAATAAAACTGTCTGCAGTTTCTCCTGAGGACATTCTTTAACGTACAGGGAAGCTGATAATATAATATTCACTTGCATTTTCAGATTCTTTGTGACATAATGTTGATGCTTGGGGACACTCTACCTGACAAATTCAAACAACGGCATGGATCATGGGCTCATCAAATATGCAGAAGCTGTGAAACATCTAACACCACCGTTGCTAAGAGCATTGTGAAACTTTCCATCTCGCTTACTACATCCCCTGGTGATCTATGCATAGCCGTGGAAGTGGCTAAGGAGTTGCAAAACGTCATCGGTTTAGAAAACTCTGATAATTTACAAGTGTCTGAATCATACATGGTCATAAACCAGTCAACAAGTGCTTCAGTAACTTCTTGCATATTGCAATCTATTGAGTCAGCAATCGTTGACATGGATTGGGCCTCAAAGAAGCTAAAGAATTTCTATGTGGTCTCTCAGAAGAACATCCATCTCAACCATGATGCTGAGGGTACATTTGGTTTGGCTCTCGAGGAAGCCCTTTACTCAATGGCTGAGTCCACAGTCAGAATACTTTCTTCCTTTGTCTTGATGAACCTCAAAGGTGAGTTTTCACTGCTGAAATTTTCACCTCATCCGCTCCTCATTATTTCTAACTGAGCTTGTTAATCAACCTGTGCTTTCATGATCTGCAGACTCGCAAGCAGCGCAGTTTCTCAGACTAACAGTTAGGTTTTACAAACAATTAGCTCAGATTGTGAAGCTGAGGATTGCTCCCAAAGGTTGCAAGCAAAATCTTCCCAGCCTTAAATTTCAAAAACTCGTGGAACTAACTTGCAGGAGTCTCACGGTTCCTTTATATCCCTTTTTAGCTGAAATGCAAAAGGTAAAGTTGTGAAAGCAGTCATAGATTGACGTTTATTCGTTAAAAATGCATGTTCCAAAAGTGTAACGTGGGGGCTTCGTCCTAATGCAGGAACAACAGGAAAGTGTGAGTTCTAATTCCAAGGGCATAATCAACAAGATCAAACAGGAGAACAAATGCATCCCTGATTTAATATTCCAGATAGAAGACTATGAAAGATACCTTATTCAGCTAAGCAAAGTTACTAAATTTAATTTGTTGAGGCATGCCAAGCGCAGCACTGCCAGAGACTTCAAAATAATTGAAGATGCAGAAACTCCTGCAGGAGGCGAAGATGGAGGAAACCAGGCAGAGACACAGACACGGAACAATGACATTGGCGTTAACGAAGATGATTTAAGAGAAGGGTCAGAAGATGATTCAGAGAAAACATTATCCTCCCGAAATGTTAATTCCGGATCATCACGGGACTTACATTCTGATAAAGCAATAGCAGCAGAAGAGGACGACGAAGAAGAAGGAGAAGGAGAAGGAGAAGGAGAAGGAGAAGAAGGAGAAGAAGAAGAAGGCGAAGAAGAAGGAAGTGGCTTTAGTCGTCCTAAAAAGATTGCAAAGAAGAGTTGGGTTGTGGATGATTCTGATGAAGATTCTGAAACATTTTAGGTTAATGTTTGTAGATAATACTTGAAAGCAAAGAGAATGAACATAAGGCATTATACTATTAGCTCTCAGATTTCCTTGAACAGCAAGTCTTCGTGGCAGGGTCAGTTCACTCTTCAACTCTGCAAAAAAAAATTATATTAGGGTTTCCAGTGCTTATGGAACCAGCAAACATGCGAGGATTTGGACACATTCTGCGTGTTCGACATTGTTGATAAATCATGCCAATGATATGATCTAAAACTGTTTGAGTATATAATATCGCCATACTTTGAAGATCGAATTTACTCCAGTGATTTGTTATCCATTGTGGAATATATGCTACAGTCTCTAACCTTCTGAATATTTTTATTTTACTTTATTCTATTGGTTTTAGACTTTTAGCCTTTTGAGTATTTAAGTTGGAAAAAGTTGGATTTTGCATTAAAGAATGATGGTAGATGTCCAAAATATAAAATGATGGTTTATAAGGAACATGAGACCTGACTTCATTATTATTTAAGTATATTTTTCCACTTTCACTAAATTAACACAACCTTATCCGATTTTACGATCTTGAGAAGTTTTATGTTTGTAAATACATAGTTGGGATTATACTAAGCCAAGTAGATGGTAAAATGGTTATTACATTCACACAATTTCCTAAAATAAACATTTTAAAAATATATATTTGCATTAAATTATATATATTTGACGTAATCTATGAATTCATTAGCTTTTTACAGGCTGTATAATCAGATTAATTTTTGCAGTATTAAAAAAAGTCAGGCAGGCAATAAGAACCCTTGTTAATGAATGAGCCAGGTGTTATGGGGAAGGGCAGTGCTATTGCATTAAATTAAGAACATTGGTGTGTTCAACTAAAGACGAGATTCTCTAATCTTTTGCAATAAACTAAGGCTGATCACAAAACTATTAAATCCCCACCAATACAAGTAACCCACTTTGAAAGTGAGAGAGACAGGTAAGGGACCTCACTGTCTCTTCACAGTCGGATCCTATGAATATGGAGTACAAATCAATAACATTACATGGGATATTGTTACTTCATACAAAGACAAAGCAAAATGTCAAAATAGTTTTGGCCCACATTATTCCAAAAACTAAGAAGTCTAAGAATCTAGGAATCTAGTGAGTTTTGACCAAGTGATAATACTCTTGACGATCGCCATCGTGTTGAAAACCTGACTTTTGCTAGATGACTTTTTATTTATCTGCAAAATTTACATGGCAAAGATTTAAAAAACTGTCTTGATTTCAACATAAATCTCCATCTTTAAATGAATACACTCTTTAAGAGTCTTAACCACTTTTTTTAAGAGTCTTGACCACTTGAAAGAGTCTTGACTATTTTCTTCTAATATTTTGCAGAACGTTTTTGATTGGTTAACAACTTAACATTAATAAGATTACTGAAAATATACACATTATGTATATATATATATTAATACAAAACTCATACTACTGTAATAAAAAGTCGAAACATGAGTACAAATATTTGAAACTCACGTTAATCAAGTTTGTACATTAAATAAGAATTATTCTGTGGTTTGACAAATAGCGAAACCACTATACTAAATGATTGAAGTTCAGCGATCGGTACTTATCCCCTCCGTTTGATAGAATTAGGAAAATAAATAAACTTTTGGTGATGGTCAATTACAAAACGTACTGTCTGACACGAGAACCAGATATCTATTTACATAATTATGGAAAAAGATTTGTGTTGACTGAAAGGTTGTTAGCATAACATGCTAATGTTGTGTAGTATTTATTTTCGGACAATATACGAGATGATGTTTTTCCTTTATTAATAAAACAAAGTATATGTATGATCTATAAAAGAGGGTTATATGAAGTCCAGTTCTTCTTGTCAACGATTCACAATCAACTATAAATAAAAAGTTTTTATAGTTGGTAGACGTTTTATTCTGTAAGAACGAATATTACCGAATAGTTTCGTTGAAATCCTAAATTTAAAATTCTTATTCGTCTAATTGTGAATATAAAACTATACAGAAACGTATGTCGGTTAAAGGTAAAGATTCTCCCACACGTTGAAGCTAATTCGCATGAAACCAAGAGAACATTTTAATAGATAAAAAAAGAAGCACATAGTAGTATTTTTCGTACGTGTCATCTTGTTTGTCGTTTTGTGGATTGGATCAACATAGTATTAGTCTATCACCATCACTAACCACTATATGAGATATTACAAAATCAATGAGAGGTTCATCTTCTTTAAAGTTGGTACTTTTTAATGCATGGTGGCGGGAATTTTTTTAATTTTAAAACGAAATAAATTAACTGATTAAACTCTCTACTCGTAGTTAGTTCCACTAAACATAATTAGCTATAGTGACAAACTGACAATACGTTGATAATGTAGGCAAAAAGATAAAAGCTTCATCAGGAAATTAAAACACACTACAAAGTAACTTTTAATGAAATAATAATATTTTCGGAACCTACTAAATAATAAAACTAGGGACTTCCCATAGATATGCAAACCTCTAAAACACCCAAAACACCCTTTTGGCTTTACATCCTCTATGACAAAACGACAAAAAATAGCAGAAGGGTGAAAAAGTCAAATCAACAATCTCTCTTTCTCTCTCTGTGTTTCAGTACGCGAAACCGCCTGCTCTGTTTCTCGGGTCCCGGCGGTGACCGCCTGAAGTAGACGCCGGAGGGTCAGACATCGTCGTCGTCTTAACAGCCATGAATGAACAGTTCTCTCTTCTTAAGCTTTCTTCTTCTTCCATGATCATCTGCTTCGATCTACACTCCTCGCTACAAAACGCCTTATCACCTCTGACAGATTCAAACAAAAATCCCAGAAAATTAACACAAATCGAGAACTACTTTGGATTTTCGCCGTTATAATCACCGGAAAATGATTTCTTTTCATGGATTAGTTACTTACTTGTACATGTAGATATCTTTCGCTGGAAGAAGTTTCCTTCTGCAGAGAAAACAATGCTCGAGGAATCCAGAATCTGGATAGCAACTTCCACGGCGGAGATCGGAGGCGGCGGAGGCGATGGCGGTGATCATGACGGCGGATTTGTTGACGACTTGATGCGGTTTGGGACTAATTAAGCGGTCACTGAAAGTGTTGTTAGTCGACTCCAGAACAATACTTAGTCCCACCATTTTTTCTCTTAACTCATTATCTATTTTTTTTTCTTTCTTTTGATGTGTTCTTCTTATATGCTTTTGAGATTTTCTTTTCAGGTGTTAATGGCGAAAGAAGAAGAAGAAGAAGAAGGAAGGAGAAGTTTTTGGTTTCCGCAGGGGAAAATGAAAAAAAAAATTAAAAATGTATAAGAGGATAGGTGGGACCTACGAGTGTACTACGCGAGGACGATTGATTTGATCTCTTTTGCTTGATACTCGCCACGTGTTTCCTCCTCTTCATTACTTGTGTAACCTTCTTCGCTCGTTTTCCCTTTTTTTTTTATAATTTTAGAAAATAATCGAGTTTCACTTTGTCGTCTTGTGTGTTTTCGAGTTTCATATGAGATTTTGTATCTTCGAGGCATGTGATCTTGTATTTAACTTTTGTGTGTTACTCTTTCGGTGGATATATGTATCTCTACTCTTTAGTAATGTGGAATGAGTGTAATACTCGTTCATAAGTATTTCTCAATTTCATAATACAAAACGTGTATCTCTGTATTTTTATTTTGGTTTCTTAATATTCATACTTACAAATCAATGTATAGATTGAAAAAATTTATATTTTAAAAATCCATGTACGTTTGAAAATGGGGACTAACTTTCTACTCGCGTAAATCAAGTGGTCTTCATTCTTGCTGTTGAAATGAAAATTTTGAAAAGTTTTTGAGCAAATCTTTTCTAGATGGCTCTGTTGTTACCCAAACGATAAAATAATAAGTGGGTCAGAATCTATAGTTAAAGGCTATAAGCAACCTTGTTTCATTTTATAAAGGCCCAAACCAAGATCTACTCCAATCACTCAGATTTTCGTTTTATTTCTGAACAACACACATTTACACAATCTGAATTTGGTTGTCGATTTTTTACTTTCATAATGTTTACACTGGCCTAAATAAAAAATTCGCATCTACACACAGTTACGATGGTAGAAACTTGTGAACAAATATATTTTTTAATAGCTTAGTATCTTAATATACAATAGAAAAATCATGTCCAACCGTATAATCAAATTAATTATTTTGTTACGAATAATTTGGTATCTTTTGGACACAAGTCAAAGGCAGTCTCGTTACATGAATAAAACTAGTTACAAATCAAGACTGTAAATTGCTATAGTTCAACCATATTTATGATCAATTAGTTTCAAGATATTTTTTTTAGCCAACAAGTATTGATTTTACTGAACATGTCCAGCTAATATACGGACTATCTATTTTGGATAGATTTTTTGTTTTTTTTTTTAATTATTATTATTAACATGCATTACTATATTAATTATAGAGTTAGGTTGGAAGTAACTTTCTTTTTATTCTTGAAACAGTTCTTCACTCTATCTTTTAAATGTTTTCATAATGTACGTTAGCAACTTAACAGGATTTTCTGTGTCAAATAATGGAGATGTGGGGTTGTTGGTTTAGATACAAGCAAAGGTTGATTATGAAAATCATTACTCTTATTGTTGATGATTGGACTACTAAAACATCATGACTCTAAATAAACACAAATAAACATAACTAAAATTTCACTTGGATGTTCTTTCGAATAGTGAATCTGATCTTTTAAGAAGAATTTGTAATATGAAAATTTACGTGACCTTTCAATCTCTTATTTCATATATGTATCAGTGAATTATCAAACACACACATCGATATCATAGCCAGAGTGGAGAAGAACAAAAATTGGATTTCTATCCTAAATTAAATAGAAATTTCTGACATTGCATACATAAATGGGATCTTAATAAAATTTCTCGGTTATTTTAAAAGTTTACTTATGATTGAACATGTGATTAATCGTCAAGATTACATCGTCGACAAGACATAATAACTAAGAGATATGGTTATCAGTTATTTCCGATATTAGGACCCAATTGCTGTCGTTTACTTTACACAAATTCCCTTTGCTTTTCTATTTCATTCGTTTTATATAACTTTGTGTACTCGCATTTTGAAGTGCTAACAATTTGAAATTAAGCTTTGTAAGACTAAGTATATGAATCAAGTTGTTTTTACTGTTTGGCAGTAGAAAGTATAGAGATTTCGACCGTTTAGCCTTGTGGTATACAACTTTTTGGTTTAAAAAAATACTTAAGTAGTACTTTATACTCACTTGGCCTCAACTTTTTGGAGTATGAAGTATACTGTATATATATGATGAGGCCAAGTGATACACGAATCCAAAGAGATAGGGAAAACCAAGTTTTTGCATCGATCTAAATACATCGCGCTCTCCATCTGTTGCATCTATCTAAATCTGCATTTCCTATACTCTATTTGCTCCATCTAGTTTATCCATCTGCATTTTTTTTTTTTTTTTGGTTTACGGCAGAATCAATTTGTCAATAAAGTAAACAGAAGCAAATAATTTGTTTGTCAAAAAGTGTCTCAAATCCAAATCTAAACATTTGACTTCCTCTTTGGTTTTTCAAGATATTCCATTAATTACTGCTTGATTAGTTATGGACTTATGGTTAATGGACTCCACCCAAAAGTAGTCAAATATAGGAACTAGTAAGCCACAATGTGGACAATAACATATAGAATAATATATTTATGTCTCCATGATAGAATTTTGTTCAATGTGCAATAATTATAGCATTATGTTAGAGTCTAAAAAGCACATTTATAACTGTCGGAGATGTGAATTACAAAGGAGAGGACTTAAGTGATATATCTAGTGGGAAATGTCTAACTAAGCAGGGTTCCAATTCCACTTAAAGGATATTGTTATCCATCAATATTCACCAAATCTATAACTTTTAAAAAAATCTATATACATCTGGTATATCACATACATCTTTATGTTTTCAAAACTTTATGTATCATACTGTCATTATTTATAGTTAACCAAAAAAATTAAAGACTGTTTAGTCAATAAAGGACCGATCAGAGCTGAAGTATGGTTTTATTTATAATTTTCTTACTATGTTTGGGCATAAAATGGTCGTATAACCTAAGAACCACTTACAAATGTTTCTTTTGGTGTAACCGATCACAAAGTATTGCTGTAATTATTGATGAACGCGAAGTATTCACAAAATTCTTTTGCTTTGGTACCAATTAAACCAAGTGGGAGTGTGGGACTATGGATGCAACAAAGTGATATATCAAACTTAAATGTCGGGGAAAGAAAATGGTCATGATTTTCTGACTCATCAAACTAATTATAATACTAGGAACAAACGCTAACGGGATGGAATGTTCTAGAATCTAGATGGGAATTATTATAGGTGGAAAAACTAATTCACATAACATATTAGCGAAACAAAAAGGTATAAATCATATAACAATAAGAAATGTTTCGCTTCCACGATTTTAATATTCCACTTTTCATGCTTCATGTTTAATTAAACAATATAATTCTTATAGCTAATACAAATTTTAATATACATCCCTACAGTGTCGACTTAACTATTATTGTATTTTTACAAAATTTCAGTTACAAAATCGTAATTCTTTTTTGACATCCAAAAATCGTAAATCAAATTCCTTATTGCAATCTTTGACGATAGATTTAAGTTTTAGTAATATAGAGTATGATACTGTTAATTACAATTTTTAAAATCTCATTATATTTGATAGGTTGACCACTTAATTGGAGCATCAAAAATCTTTCGAGAAAATAACCGCATTTTTTATAATAGAACTAGACGGCAACTTTTTGTCGAATATGGTCGACCAAAGAAGGAAAACTAGATAACGATTACAATAACACAATATTTATCAAACATACAACGCATAACTTATTAAGAAATACTCCTTATTAGTAAATAACGCATCTTTCTCCTCCTATAAACAACACAACTCCACATATATTAGTGAAAATAAATTAAATATCAGCAATCTTATTTTTTAAAAACAGAGTACAATGAATAGTATAAACAGCTAATTAATCCAACATACTGATGGCTTGGTAGCTTGCTATGGGAGATTATATGAAGTAGACAGAGCTTACATCACAAACTAAACGATTCATAGACACGTATAGGTTAGGCATATGTCTATGCATGTGTTACGTGTAGACTGCGTGGCATTGAGATCAATGGTGGAGATGGAAGTAAGAATATAGGCACGTGTGGGAAAAGCAAAAAAAAGAGAAGAAGTGGATATGAGTGAGGAAAGGAGAAGAGTATGTTTCCTTTGTATTGGGAACATCGCGACTCTGACTCTATATGTACTTCTCCTTCACTACAACAGTACAACTTGTGTTCCTTTTTTTTTCTTTCTAAAAGTTAGTTTCGCCCACGATTTACACAACTTTCTTCTGCTCTTATATACGGTTTATTAAATAGTTACACATTTTTTTTTGGGTTTTAATAGTACACAGAAACATACATATATAAAATACGGAGTAATATGCACCATACATTAATATAGTTATACACATACACTATTATATTATTATCGTATGACGCATGCAAGGATGCATGTATGAGAATTGACGGTAGGAATAAAAATGTAGGAAATTGGAAATACGTCTTGCAAATTTAGTGGAGTGATATACAAACCTGACTTAATAATTTCTTATTAAAATGTTGACAATACTCTTAATTTTAATGGTTTAGCAGATGCTAACCATACCACTCCTTAAAATTCTTTGAATTTTTTTTTTAAATTGCAACAAATCATCCAATATAGAATAGGCTGACTTCACTGAAATTTATTGAATAATATCAGATTTTTGAAAAAAAAGAGTTTTTTCATTTTAAAAGTTGTCACCAATACTTCTCATAATTTATGAAAATCTACACATGGGTTATACATAACTTTTCAATTGTCATGATGATCGTTTTCCCACGTAAGCAGAGACAGGACGTAGAATGTCACTGGTGATAAGGAGTAGAGTGGGAATAAGCAGGAAAAAGGGGAATAAAGAAAGGAAAGGTATATATAATTTTCAAGTCGATTTTAGGTTGATAATTACAGTGCGAGGGAGACAACACATTGCGCTATACCTAATTCTAACTAGTTTCATTTCTAGACTGATGGACCAGTCATATCACTTTCTACTAATATCTTTAGTTTGAGTTCCATAAATATCTTTATCAACAATTTAATTTATCAAAAAATAAAAATAAAGAGCAAAGGTCGCTTCTAGTTCCTTCACATTTTG